TGAAATTTGATTATGATCTAGTTTTGAGAGACGTTTCTTCAAAAGAAAGTTTTGGAAAACACGACTTATTCCGATTTTTGACGTTTTAATGACGTTTTAAAACGTCACCCGTCCCCAAAGGGTTAAAATTCTTGAGAAAAATGAAGTTGCTTTTAATATGTTCTTTAACTCCATTGTTCTGTGTTTTATTTAACCTATTTTTTTCGTATCATCGTATAAAACCATACATTTGTTTTCTGATTAATGAAAATGGTCAGATTAAATGAAAATTTGTCAGATTGCTATAATTTATGTTTATAGTAGAGATTTTATGGTGTTGAGCGACTTCAAGGATTTGAGAATAAATCATCATATAACGAAATAAATATGATCAATCAGTATTGACGCAGCAAAGATGAACTATTTCGAGATCATTCACAAGTGTTTACTGGATATAAATAGAAATTATTGCTAATTTTTTGTGGTTTATATTGTGGAATGTTCAGTTTAGTAGATATGACAATCGAGCTCAAGATCGATGCACAGATGAAGTTTGCATTTGGCCTTTTCTATACACTATATGCTATTTTAGATGTTTGTTGTAATATTTTGTGTTTTTATATTGTTAGTTTCTCTCATAATTCTTCTGCCATTTTTGTTCATTCTATTTTATCGTCACTCATCAATTGAATTCATTTCATCGTCAACTTCTCGTTGTTTATTGATAACCGCTCATCCCGACGATGAATGTATGTTTTTTTCACCTACCTTGTTACAATTACACGAACAAAATATTCCAGTTTATATCCTATGTTTATCAAAAGGCGATTATAATCGATTAGGTAATTTACGATTAGATGAGTTCTACTCAAGTTGTAAACAACTGAATATCCCAAATACAAATTATCGTGTTATTAATGATCCATTATTATTGAGAGATGATCCAACATTAGACTGGCAGCCAGATGCAATTATTGGACATGTTAAAAATGTTATTCAAGAATGGAATATTAACGTTTTATTGACGTTTGATCACCAAGGAATTAGTAAACATAAAAATCATGTATCTATCTATCGGTAAGTGAATGAATGAATGAAAGAATTTATTTTGTAAAGAACACATGGAAATTATAAGAAAGCTAGAGCTTGTTTGAATATAACACCCGATAAAATAAAAGCTTACACAGCAATTTGAGTTATGTATAGAGCAAAATGTTGTTCTATTTGTGCTGATAAATTGCGCCGTATGTAGCTTTAAAGTACATCAGATGTCATTTCTCTAGTTTGAAGATTGAAAATAATCATTCAACACTTTGCTCAGAAATCGTGTAACTCTTTATCAATTTTTTTCTTCTAGATGTTTACCTCATTTGATACAACAAACAAAAGGTCGAATAAAGCAAGTATTCGTTCTTAACACTGTACCATTATATCGAAAATATTTGACATTGATTGATCTCATCAGTTATGTAATGAAGTTCAAACACCGACCAAAATATTGTTTTCTATTATCTCGACGTCATTTGTTAAAACCTTATTTAGCTATGAGAGAACATCGGTCACAATTAGTCTGGTTTCGTTATTTATATATGCTCTTTTCACGATATATATGGATCAATGATTATACCAGATTTAGTTAAATATGTAAATTTAGTCAGAGGAGTCATAGGTTTTTGTAGATGTTACGTTATCTTTAAATATAATTACTACCAATTAAATATAACTTACAACAAAAATACCTCGTATTTCGTTAATAAAAAAATAAATTATTGTCAGTATAAATTAGACTCTTGTTCTAAAGAAACGAATTGCGTTCTTTGTACTAGAAGACACAGATGGCATCAAGAAGACTTATTCTATTAAGATGCTTTGGCATGCTTACATTCTGTAAAGAGCAGTTTTAAAAGTATTCCACCTATAATTCCATACAAAAGTTGCCTTGAACAGTTTTAAAATCTAGTGTTCTTGTAGTCTTCGCTAACGTTCAAAGATTTATAAATTCAGTAAAGCTAAAATACGGTCTATTTTACAAATTCTTGTCCTTGAATTGTCATCCCACCATTTTCTTTCTGTATCACATCAAAATTTAATTCTGTTATTTTTCTAGCATAAAAAACTCAACAAAATACTGTCTTTTCTGATCGCAGATTGCATATGAGACAGTGACGGATTCAGAATTTTTTAAGTACATGCGGTAGGTAAGGAAAGTATGAGGTACGTCCCACCATTTTTTTTCTGTATCACATCAAAATTTAATTCTGTTATTTTTCTAGCATAAAAAACTCAACAAAATACTGTCTTTTCTGATCGCAGATTGCATATGAGACAGTGACGGATTCAGAATTTTTTAAGTACATGCGGTAGGTAAGGAAAGTATGAGGTACGTGTAGTCCTCATAAAACCAATTTGCTGAAACAGTTCTGTTGGTCTGGGTGATGAGATTAATAAGTGAATTATGTCATGGCTGACCAGCACCGTACGTAAAAGTTGACATTTTCAATACTAAAAATCTTATTTAAATTTTAAAATGGTTTCGAATTCTCTTCCGGACAAGGGATGGCACACTACTGTTACTGTTACCAGTAATACAAATATTGTGTACATTCCTATTACCGGTAAGATTAATATTCCACGTATTCCTGTTACTAGTAATAGTAATACTGTTGCTGGGTATAGGAATATTCATAAAATTAGTATTACTTTTCAGTAAAGTAATACAAGAAATCTTTTTTTCAACAGATTATTCAAAAGATTTCGTGTTCTTGGATAAATACCAGAAAACTTTGAGAAATCAGACGAACATTTTCTCTTTTTATCCTGCTGAAATTTCTCCTATCCTTTCCAGAAATGCAGTATCCATCCGTGAGATTGGAAAATTGCCCTCAATAGAAAAAGTTTTTTCAAAAACGTTCCCGACATAATCCACGAAAAGAATTTCTTTTTGCAATACATTTGCAAAAAGATGTTTCAGTTTTTCAAAAACTTTCCCTAAATCAATAAGTTTTCCCCCGACGATCGTCGGAGCAGACAGGAATATTCTGTAGCTCTCTGATCCTTTCCAATTTATGAGGCCTGCGGCTGTTTGTTGAATAACTCAGGAATGAAAAGAGCTAGAGAATTCGGGTTTTCATCATCTAAGAGAGACAACTTGAGGCATCTTTTTATACCACGCATTAATTCAAAACTGTTTTAAAAGTAGGTTTCCGAGGAGATCTTTGGGAAACCAGCGCATAGCTCAAAAGCTTCAGGTACGAACATTTTTATTTTTCTTCATGGATAGCTAGCCAAAAGTGTCCTGTTCAAAACGGGAGAATTCGATTTTCAGTGACATCTAAAGTTACCGAATACTAGTCCTGGTGCACCAAGGAAGTCCGATACCGCGGCCGAACCACTGAAATATTAGAAATATTCATTCAAGAACACATTATGAAATCTTTTGACTATTTTTTTGAAAAAAAAATTCTTGTATTGCTTTACTGAAAAGTATTACTAATTTTATGGATATTTCTATTTCCAGCAACAGTAATCCTTTCAGTATTACTTTCCTCGTAATATCGTAATGTAATACATGAGTAACAGTAATATGGGACCCCTATTCCGGACGATAGTGTTGAACCATGTCATCATTTTCTTGCTAAAAGAGATACTTTACCCTGCCTCAGTGGCTTGAATCTCGCCCGTTTTTATACGAGTACAGATTAAATTAACTGAATTGAAAGAATCAGCTATTGGCTGGCTGTCAGACCAAGATATATTGTAACTGGTCGAGTTTCTATCCGACGACAAGTCGTCATTGAGAATCGGAATGTTTTTGATAATACATTTCAACATACTATTTTAACTATTCAGTTCGTTTGCTATTATACTTAAACTAGTCGAGACTTTGGCCTAAAGTGCATGTAGAAAATGAACGGAAGCGAATGGAATTAGTCTGTAACCCAAATGCATTTTTTGAGGCAGGAGAGACTTGTCTAGTAGAAAAAATTACGGCTTTTGATCATGAGAGTATTATGCATAAAGTTCAAATAAAAATAGAGACTAGCATAAAAGATGTGAAAATGCATACTATAGAATTGGGAACCAATTCATGGTTATACTGGAAAAGACGAGTAGAAAGATTTTAAAAAAACTGATGATTGTGGTTATCTCAACAGCTGATAGACTTAGAATGTGAATATTAATTTAAAAAATATATAACATTTGATTACGAAGATGAATACTCATATAATCATGCTCCATTTTTTTAGCTTCTTGTGGCTACCGAATCCTACTTTTAAGACAGAGTTTATAAATGTGTATGAGGAAAATCTAATATGTTGTTTCTGACAGAATTGGTTGTATTATATAACTCTGCGGAAGTTTCAACCTCATATATCAGGCTGACAATTCGAGGACTCACAAACGTTATGTGTAATTCATCTTTATTCTGATAATATTCTGCACAAATTTTATGTTCTACAGCGCGAGCCATTCAGTTTGTTTTGTTCACAGACCTACTTTTTTGACAGCAGAACGAAATCAGATTACTATAGACAGAAGAAGAATATGCTGTATGATTTTCGTGAGCAACAAGCTCTGATTACGGCGTCGATGAGAAAAGAAAAACTACAACGACGAATGCTCATGGTGATTTCGAGTGCTGCATGTTTTACCGTTTGCACATTGCCCTATGCTATCCATCGAATTGTATATCAACGAGTCGGAGTCACATCGACAGCTCTTGTTGTGATTAGTATCCTGCAGATTTTTCTGAATATAAATTATTTCTACAATCTTCACATTCACTGTTTGACATCATCCAAACTCTTGAGATATCAAACAGTGAATGTAAAGATTGTAGAAATAATTCATATTCAGAAAAATCTGCAGGATACTAATCACAACAAGAGCTGTCGATGTGACTATGATGATACTTGGCGAGTACTTAGACAAGAACTTGGGAAGTAACAACGCTTGTCAAGTTCTTGTTCAAGTGCTTTCTAAGTGAGGAAACTCTTCAAGTATTACCCAAGTACTCGGCAAGTAATCAAGTACATTCATTAAGGTTCTAAAAAGAATGCTACGATGAAAGTTGTTACGCAAAACTGACCATGGGACTTCTAATGGAAAAACTTATGGCGAAAAGTCGTTGTGACATCTAAAAACGTGCCCTTCTAAGTGCTCTTGAATTTTCTGTTGAATGAAATCACAAAAAAGTATGTTAGTTTTTCACCAGTTGTCGTAATTTCTTATTCATTAAACGATGTGATTTAGTGTAGGCTCTGTCCGGATAATTTTGGCCACCACTATAACTCATCTTCTAAGTATAGGAGGGTTTGAATCATTCGCTGACCAAGACTAAAATTATAAGTTTTTAGAAGGTATCATAGAAAGACAGACATCCCATGTTGCCAAAACCACAAATTTTTAGTTATAGCCACGCTGCTCGAATAATGGGCACAATTTAATCTATACATTTTGTGACATACGTTTCTGTAACGAACAGTAATTCGATTTGAAAACACCATTAGACGGACTCTTTTATATATGAAAATCAAACAAAAAACCGGACATTTTACTCCGCACTTTTATAATGTATTACAGTTCAAGATCTCTCGCATATGAAAAGTTAGACTGTTGAAAATCATCACCCAATCAGAAGAAGAGAGTAATTAGAAGTTCATTGTTACTACTGTAAAACGAACATGTTGGACGAACTGCGCTATCGTGTGCTGTTCATGAGATAGACTTGATCGAATGGTATGAAGAGAAATAATTGCTTGCTTAGTTAGTAAGATATTAAGAAAATTGTAATAGATATTATTTTAAATAATTTTTGAGATAGGTTTTCTACATACAATAATTGGTGACGCCTCAGCATGAGATAGGAACTGCTTCAAAAAAAAATCATCAACCATGCCAGCGCTTTGTTTTGAGTGATCTCTCAGATGACATACACAAAATTAAAATCAGAATACTCTCTAATACTAATCATTAGCGATCAATAAATGTATGCACTCTTTTAAACTTTTCAGTGAATAAAACCATAACTAAATACTTTTTATTTATGCTTAAAAATTTACTTTTGCAAAAATTTGCATACTGAATTTTTTTTTATTAAATGCTTTTTTTGTTTTCTCAAAGCTTAGTTACATATTTTTTGTACGAGCATTCATCATTAGTGGTTAAATATACATTGCTCGAGAGAAATACTCAAGTGTTGAAACTGGATTCTTTAACCGGTATACCTGATTTCTATAAATATAACTTTTTTGGCCAGAAATAATAACACACTTTTGTTCTCTTTTCTTCCGAGCACAATCGAGGTTATGCCATTCTAAATTTATTCGATAGAGAATTTTCTACTCTACAGAATCTATCACATTCTTTCATTACATATTATTTCGTTATTTTAAAAAATAGTGCAAAGTCAGGAACAGGTAAGAAGAATAACGGGGGCGTAAGGAAGCGGTTATAATTATTTTTGTACTTGATCTAACTGATTATTTAATAACGCTTCTGCTAGCTATTCATCACAGGTACTTTGCGTAAAGAATTCATCTTCATTGAATTAATCCGCATTGAGAAATAAAATTTTTTCTAACATTTTGCCCCTAAGAACGGATGATCCTGAAACGATGGGGTTATTCATGTATCTATTTTTATCTATATCCCGTATGGTTCCAACACTTCGTTCTGACTTCAGAAGACAGAAAATGTTCTGCTCTACAAAACCCTATAATGGACATTTTCACTGCGTTTTTTGGCTAGTCCTTTTCCTGCTTTCTTCAAAATCCCGCGTTACTCGAAAGTACAGATTAACTTGTGCACTGAAAGCTTCACAATTTGGCTGACCAAACGAAATAAGCAGCCTAGTCTGGATGATAGCGCTCGTTCTGCTGAATATTTTTATGCCACCTTCTTCTCTCAATTACCACATTATTTCTCGAAAAGTTACACGAAAACGAAAAGCCACAAAAATTTTGATAGGAAATCACAGTGATACTTTTTATCGGTCCCTACTCTGCACTATTTTTTAAAATAATGAAATAATATGTAATGAAAGAAGATGATGGATTCTGTAGAGCAGAAAATTCTCTATCGAATGAGTTTAGAACGGAATCTTCGAACCTCGGCTGTGCTCGGAAGAAAAGAGAACAAAAGGGTATCGTTATTTTTTCCGCACTCGTTACTCCCTAATACTATTAGCGATTAGTAAATTTATGCATTCTTTTAAACTTTTCAATAAATAAAATCATAACCAAATGTCTTACAGCTTAGTTACATATTTCTTGTACACTCATTCATCATTTGTAGTTATATATGTACATTGCTCGAGAGGAATAATAAAGTATTGAAACTGGATTCTTTAACTGGTATACCTGGTTCATATAAATACAACTTCTTTCATGACTACATGAAAAACAATATACTTTAAAACAAACAGAAATGAATAGATTTATTTTGCAATTGATTAATACGCAGAGCAACATACGGATAAAAGAACTTGGATACCTTTAAAAAATTGATCAAGTAATAAAAGTGAGTTTCCTGGAATGCTATAGTATATTTCATGCTTAACGTAAACGAATTTTTATTTGTTTCTACCGCTTCATTATACTAATTTGCAGTAGATTCCATTGTGAAACTAAGGATATGTCCGTGATATAAACTGCCAATGTAGAAATTACAAAGGTTTTTTTGCGTGGTCACACAAAAACGTAAGCCGCCTAACTCAAAAAATGGTTACAAAAGCGAAATTTTGCAAGCCTACACTAAATCACATCGTTTAATGAATAAGAAATTACGACAACTGGTGAAAAACTAACATACTTTTTTGTGATTTCATTCAACAGAAAATTCAAGAGCACTTAGAAGGGCACGTTTTTAGATGTCACAACGACTTTTCGCCATAAGTTTTTCCATTAGAAGTCCCATGGTCAGTTTTGCGTAACAACTTTCATCGTAGCATTCTTTTTAGAACCTTAATGAATGTACTTGATTACTTGCCGAGTACTTGGGTAATACTTGAAGAGTTTCCTCACTTAGAAAGCACTTGAACAAGAACTTGACAAGCGTTGTTACTTCCCAAGTTCTTGTCTAAGTACTCGCCAAGTATCATTAACCCTTTCGGGACCGGTGACGCTTTAAAGCGTCATTAAAACGTCAAAAATCGGAATAAGCCGTGTTTTCCAAAACTTTCTTTTGAAGAAACGTCCCTCAAAATTCGATCATAATCAAATTTCAAATACATCATCTTATGCAGTTTTTGACGCTATATCTTTTGATGTATAATACATTTGCATAATATTTAGTTCTGAGTTAGAAATCTAAGTTTTTCCGAAAATTTCGGTCCTTCTCAGTAAAAGAGGGCTTAGAGTACGAAGGCAGAATCGAAAGTGAAAAATGTTTTTGTCAGTGGATAGCTCTTGAAATTCTCTATCGAGACATTGCCATTTGAATTTTTTTGTCGAAAATCTCTTGGTTAGGAAAAACAAAATACTGAAGATGCGTTTTTTTTGTTTTTTAGGAAAAATACTGTTTTCTACCTAACTCCGCCAAAATAAGTTGAAACTGAACGATATTTTCACATATCGTAGAGTTTAGTGATAGCTTTCTTTTGACGAAAGGATGAAGTCTCTATCTGTCAGGGAAGCCGAGATACTGCAAAAATAAAAAAGGCCATAAATGTTTGAACAGTACTGTATATATAAAAATTAAACTGGTCCCGAAAGGGTTAATGAAGGTTTTCAAGTAAATTTACTTGCATGGGATCCGAGTGTTTGGACAAGTACTTGTAACTAAAATTACTTGTGGAAAACCAACAGGGACTGGCTTCATTACTTATACCAAGCACTTTTCCAAGTATTTGGCTCCAAGTACATTTCACTTATTCATTTTGTTAATGCCCGTCTAATTCGGAAGCGAATTGGTCATAAGGCACTTTCCAATCTAAGTAACATTGGTAGTGAAGAACAGCATGAAAAACTGTGCCGAATGAAATGTATTTTAGTTTACTTTGTGGGATGTTATGACAGGGTCTTTCAAACGCATTTAACCATTCTCACCTGATTATGAGTCAAAATCAAAAACTTGGAAGCCATCCATTTTTCGCTTCAAAGTTATAAAAACAGCAAAAAGAGTGAGAGTGGATTAGGGAGAACAGAGATTTTCGAAAATTTTATTATAAATTATAAGTTTTTCAGCATGTTTTGAAAATCTTTACATAGGTTTCAAATAGTTTTCTGATTGCGAGATTTCTAGTGCAAAGACTTGCTGCGAAAAGTCGTTACGAGATCGAAAAATGTGAACTTCTAAGCAGCTTTGAATTTCTGTTGAATAAAATCACAGTTTTTCCCCTGTTTTATGCTAGTAATAGGTTGGCTAAGTCTTTCATGGACGCTCTCTAAGGATATATCCACACGGGAAACGCGTAGACATTTTGCGATTACGTCAGTATTTAGTTCGGTGCTCATGTCTCAGATACGACTAACATTTTCGACTCGTCTACTTATGCAATCTCAGTTTTGCGTACGAAATTGCCTGTTTTACAAATTTTGCAGCAACGAAGGACGACTGAATATCTTGAAAATATATTAATGATTATGAATAGTCCAGAACAATTTTTCTATAAGCTTGCAAATGAACAGCTCTGTTTCGAACTATCGCACTTGTTGAGCCTTTATTTCCTTCCTTTTTTGTTTAAATTCACCAATTTTCAGAATGTTTATTCATTCTGAACATCTGCATATCACTTATGCTCTACAAAAGGAGTAGAAGTCCCTTTCTCTAAACTTTAGCATCAGTTTCATTTTTCTTTTTGTTTTTAGAGACTAAAATGGATATCGTGGATCATAATTCAGTAACTATTTTTCCAGACAATTTACGGGTCAATCGTCTTTATAATCGAACTCCTAGTAATAATTTATCATACGGTAATGGTTATGTTGTCAATCAATTGCCAAAACCTGAAGAAATACTGCTAACGCAACCTACACTTCAGCCAGATAAACACCTGCTAACATCTATTCAACCTTCTTACTCAGACCTGGGACCCCATGAACGTCACTTGTCCATGTTAGATCCTACCAGTGATCGTGTTAGCACAGTTTTGGTATGGAAAAATTTAACTGTATCGACAGATGAGGATAAAAGAAATCCTGTCATACAAACGCTTATAACCTGTAAGAAATTTCATCCGAAACAAAAGTTTTTACTTTCCAATATCAGTGGTGCTATTACCGGTGGCCTCTAGGCTGTTATGGGCCCAAGTGGCTCGGGAAAATCGACTCTGCTCAATACACTAGCCTGTCGTCTTGATGTAAATACAAAGGTCACAGGGGAAATGAGGTTAAACGGCACACCATACGACAATGCTGAGTTGAAGCGAATTGCCGGTTATGTCATGCAGGATGACATGCTCAACGGTCAACTGACAGTTGAAGAGACATTACATTATACCGCAGAACTTCGTTTACCACGTGCATTTAATGCAAAACAACGTAATGAACGAGTAAATGATGTCATGAAGGACATGGGTCTGACTCATGTGAAAGGTGTTATTGTTGGTACCCCGCTAAAAAAAGGTATTTCAGGCGGGGAACGAAAACGTTTGTGCGTCGGAATGCAGCTTCTCTCCCGACCTCAACTGCTCTTTTTGGATGAACCTACTTCGGGTCTCGATTCAGTTACAGCGTTGGATCTTCTGAAGACATTTCATGTACTAGCACACGGCAAATCACAAGAAAAAGCTGTCACAATCGTCTGCTCTATCCATCAGCCTCAATCAAAAATATTCGGCCTGTTTGATTCGCTTATTCTTCTCAAAAACGGTAATATCTTGTATCAAGGTCCACGAAAGCAGGCAATGGAAGTGTACAAACATGCTGGCTATGCGTGTCCAATGTATACAAATCCAGCCGATCATTTGCTTGATGTCGTTACTCCTTCGAAAGGCGGAGTATCCGATGAGCTCGAATACAAAGAAGATAGTGACCTTAAAATTGTGCAGGGTCAGCCACCGATAAATATCGATTTAAACCTTGGTGTTACTAAACGTCTCCTTCAAAACAAGGTAGCCCCCGGTCCATCTTGGCCCAGACAGGTTGGCATTCTTCTACGACGAACTTTTCAAGAGCAATATCGTAAGAAAAAGATACTGCTTGCATCTTTATTGCAAACCGTCATCATGGCAGTTCTCGTCGGTACCGTTTTTCTTCAAATCGGTACTGGTCAAAAAAGTATTATTCGTCGACAGCCAGTACTTTTTTTCTGCGCTGTGAATCAGGGTATCTTTGGCGCGTTGACCGTCATTAATACGTTTCCGGTTGAACGAGCATTGACACTGCGTGAACGTGCGTCTGGCACCTATCTCGCATCCGCTTATTTTGTTTCGAAAATTATTGTCGAAACACTCGTCCAGTTACCTGTACCCATTTTATTCTCGATCTCCGTGTATTTTCTCATTGGACTCCAACCTTTGCCCGGAAATTTTTTTCTCTTTCTACTATTCATGGTACTGTGTTCAATGGCAGCGACTAGTTTGGCACTTATGATATCAGCATTATGTAAAACAACCGATTTGAGCGTTGCCGTATTACCAATGGCACTCGAAGTCTCCAGACTGTTCGGCGGTTTCTTTTTGTCACCGGCTAATTCACCAAAATATTTTTCTTGGTTGGACGCTCTGAGTTATGTTAAATATACTTATATTGGTATTAGTCTGAACGAACTCACTGGTCTTCAACTATCTTGCGATAATGTTACCAACTGTGAGACTGATGGACAAGCGTTTATTAAACCATACGGATTCGATTACATACCCATCGGCGGGTGTGTTGGAGCTTTACTCGCCTATATTATAGTATGCCGTATTATTGCATTTTTAGGTGTAAGATTTCTAAAACATTAACATTGAGACAATTTTACTTGAATATGACGTTTCATTCTTATAAGCATTCACAACTAAATGAATCTTAATCAATGAACAAAACCGTTCGTCTTTTCTACAATGCTCGCCGTCACAAAAATAATAACTCTATATTTCAATAGTACGAACAGCAATACGTTGTAAGATCAATCTTGTCATCACTCTGCCAAATCTAGTTAATCTTTAAACATAGAACTAACTATTGACTTTTTACTTCCCACAAGCATTATTGTAGAATCATAAAGGAAAAATAATGGTTTGCTTCTAATTTTATAGTTATGTAGCAGTTTTTATATTGTATTAATCAATCGAAAAATTCTTTTGTGAAAACTTTTAGAGCTTTTCTTCGTCAGGAACTTTAAATAGTGACTCTTCACTATGTTCATTAGGCTATGCGTATATCTAGGAAGAGGCTTTTCACATTTTTCTCGCATAAAATACTTAACTTACAAAAGATAAGGCTTTCAAGAGTTGCATCCGTAATCGAAAATCTTTCTTTTTGAAAATGTTTGACAGTTGAATTGTTTAGCACACGTATAATATAATTGAAGCTCAACTTCGGAGCTCCTCAAAGTAGACTATTTTCCATTGTCATCCAGTCATGGACTTTTATGTTTGGAAACCGGGATTTCTTCGTCTAAACAATGCTCGGGAAGTCAGAAAAATTATATACTGTTCGAAAAAAGCTTTATTGAAAAAAGCAACATAGGTACAGTATACAAAGAGGAACATTTTGGTGTAATTTTCGGGTAGATTGAGCATTAGGAAAACTTAGCAAACTCGTTGGACCGACGAAATCTGTACGGAATGACCTAACTTGAAAATTCGGTTTTTCCTGACGGAAGTACAGGTTCAAAAGAGAAGACATTCTGATAGCGAGATAGCTTTTGGTGTCTAATTTAGAATCAGTACTGTTTTTAGATGTACCGTTTAGCTGATTTCATAAAATTTATTACTTTCTCTTGGAACGTGGGTTTTGGGGATATTTTTTGACTATGGATTTTTCGACAAACTACAACAGTTGAAACAAAACTTCCTTCTATGTAAATGCCCGTGTTTTCTCCATGAACAATACGCCTTTTAATCGAACTGTCTCTGGTAGCATCGATCAAAAACATCATCGAGTAGAGAAGGTCGTAAAGGCCGTTAATGGCCACATTTGGATTTGTGATGGTTCATTACCTATGTCCTGCAAGTTTTAGCTAATCAAACTGTTTTTGTCAAAAGTGATCTTGATTTCCGTACATGTATACGGATAAGCGGATCGGCCATTAACTTTGTGTGGCTCTAGACTTACAATCAAGAGAACACATTTACTGTAGCAATCTATCTACAGAAGATGTCATTTGAGCATTCTGAATGCGACACCGTTGGTACTAAAATGCATTTTCCTCATCTAATATCCGAGAATCCAGCAGCATTCCACTTAAATTAACACTGACAGATACATCTGAAAGCTGGCAAAGCGGAAGTATTTTGTATATCTGCAGATTGTGAAAATATCGATGTCTTCTTGAAGAAACAAATGAGAGTCGAGATGAGTCTTCTTTCATCGAGCACATTTGAATCTGTTAGAGTACACGATAAACTTCAAAGGTTTTGTTAAAAACATTGTTTTTTTTTAAAGAATTACTTAGTCGTCAGGATTTATGCTCATAGAAACGTATTCACAATAATTTTTCAGCTTGAACAAGCATGATAAAGGGACATTTTTCGACTTTCTCGTAAATTAGGACGGACGGACGGAATGGAGAGTAATTTATTTTGGTTTGAATCTACTGCAAGCGATTTACTCCATGTCACATAAAATCTAAGTAATAATGAGCTGTTTAACGGACTAATCCACTAATATCATACTAAACTATTCTAATAATTATTAAATGATCTCAATATAGATTTATCGGACTATCAAATTTCATTACTTCATTTGATGAATCTGCAAAATCTTGTCCATTGTAAAGACTGAAGACCTTATTGAAAAGACTCGACTACATGTGGGTAGAGAAAGATTTTTTTTAAGTGAAGATCCATACTGGAGTCCACTTTTTGGCGTGAACTGAGCGAAACCGAAACTGGTCGTTAAATCTTCTCGACGTCTTCCGGTACGGATTCCGACATAATCCGGCACAGCCACGATCGGATTGTACCGAATTCCGATATGTTCCCACATGTGAACCTGTCTGATCTTTCAGGATCCGGAATCCGGAATCATCGACCTAGGAAATTCGACTCGAAGTGTAACATAGACACCAAGCTACAAAAAGTTTTTTCTTGATATGTGGATTGCAAATTGATTTTTGGTTGCTTTCAAAGCAATATTTTCAATTTCAAGCCTTTCTTTAGTTTCTTTTTCTCTTTGAATCTGACACCATCTAATGAAAGTTTGTAGTGCATTATTACATTAGCCGAAAGAAATTGGACAGACACTTGTTCATAAAAACCAGGAAAGACGAAGGTGTGACGGTACTGCAAGCTGTCTTCAAAAATTCCTGATAGCGAGAAAAATCACACTTTCTGTATGTTGACAAATCAACCGGGCAGCAGAATTTTTAACTGCTGTTCGATAGTGCTACAAGTGAATGAGAAAAAATAGTTCTCAGTGATCCTATTACATGAATAGTGTACTACAAAACGAAAAACTAGTGTAGTTCTTTAAAACTGAAGTGACAATATAGAATTTTCTTCTGTGAGTAGATCATCTACACTAGAGGCTGAACCTCTTAGTGTGCTCATTACAACACGCCCATACCGCTAAAAATCAAGTTCGCTTGACTTCTGTGATGAAGAACACACTACTTACAGAAGAAAATGCTAAATTGTCACTTAGAGTACAATACCAGCCTTCTACAGATCCGCTTGAAATTCTACTTTCGATAAGAGTTTTGAAACTTGTTTTCGTTGTGAATAGGCGTGGATTAGCATCCTGTACCGTACGGCGAAAACTGCAAGTGCATATCTCTTCTTCTGGAAACGTTATTCGAAAAATAACTGAATGCACTCTGTTTTAAAGTGGATACTACCCATAGCATCGAACAACTCATCATCAACATCCAATAATTTCTCTAATTCTTTTGATTGTCTTTTGAACTTTTTCACTATAATAGTTGATTTACAATCAATAATGGCATTCTATCTGTTATCCATCACAGATTCTAATTGTGTGCAAATTTAATCTGCTATGTCAATTTCCATTAAACAGGGCTGACGTTACTACGAGGGGAGTCGACCTCCCTCCCCCAAATAAAAATAAATCGATTTTTCCCAGCAGAACATTTTTTTTTCTTGCGTTCTCTGAAAAAAATTCTTGTCTCAAAGAAGCACCCCTCCCCCCCCAAAGTCTGACTGATCACGACAGCTCTGCCATTAAGAAAGTAATGAATAGTTCACGATAGTTGTCTAACAACGTTTGAAAAACGAGATTACATTTCCGTACCACTTGTTCGTCTTTTATTTCTCGACTCATGTATGCCTTCTATTATTTTGATGTTTGTCGATTAGCGTATGAGGTGTTTCCGAATATTCTGAGAATCGTTATTTCACTGATTTGTATGAGAATTATATAACAAATGAGAAATGGGAAAATTCATTAAAAACTAAAAGCCGAATGATGATGTTTGCCTTTGTGGTCTACCATGTTGTTTTAAAATTTAAATAAGATTACTATTCGTTTATGTCGTTTTATTGATATATTTCCGATTCGTCGACACTACTTTTTTTCTGACTAGTCGACAACATTTTGAGTGTACAGATGAAAGATGTCTGTGTGTGAGCCGCCGGCACTATAAAGTGTCGACGAATCAGAAAAATTAATTAATATATTGATGAATCGGGGCTGAATCGTTTTATTTTCAAATGTATAAGAGCTAAATATATGTTGATATTTTTTTAAACCGGTATCCTCTCGTTTCGTTCCGTCACATTTCGTCCCATGCGCGTTTCGTCCCTTATATTTTCTATTATTCTATTTATTTTATAACTATCTATTTCTTTTTATCAACTGTATACTAATCAATATTAATATAATTATTTAAAACAACATTTTGGTGTGCATTCACATATTTATAAGTTCATCGATGCATTAAAGGAAGAGAATGAATATAATCATACACGTTACACAGACTCATTAACAAAAACAGTAAAACGTAAGAAAATCAATGATAACTGTGATAATAAATTGAAGGAATATTTTGAAAGATATGAGAATAGTGTTTTGCTGAAACTGAACTTGCAGTTAAATGTGTTAATACTGTAAAAAGGCGAAAGATTTATGCGTTTATGATGAGAAATTAGAATTACTATCTAATACTGTAAAACTACCTCTTTCATGTAACTTGTAAATAAAATAGTAAATGAAACTTCTACTGTTTTAAATAATTATATTAATATTGATTAGTACACAGTTGATAAAACGAAATAGATAGTTATAGAATAAATAGAATTCTGGAAAATGTAAGGGACGAAACGCAAATGAGGTAAAATGAGATGAGACGAAACGAGTGTAATTCGTTTAAAACACATCGGCCTTGTATTTGAATAAATTGTCTTCTTATTAATCTTTCATGAGATGATTCTAAGCTAACAATGTGTAATATTTATAAAAACAATACCAAAGATTTCCACCAGTAACTCCAGTTTCGCAGAATATCGTGGTCGTCAAGTACAACAAAATTTTTACGAGCCCTAATAAAAAGTCCGCCAAAACGGGGCTCGTAAAACTTTTGTTATATTTGAGAACCACGACACTCTGCGGAAACAGAAAATATTACATTTTGTTCAGCTCACTTTTCTCTACAAGACTAGATGTAAACAGTCCTTGAGTTTTCTTTTGTTCGAGCCACGAGACTCGTAAAACAACAAAAATCGTGACGGAATCACGAAAAGGCGACCGTTACGTGGACAGGCCGAGTTGTTTAGATTAGTTTATTTGCGAATGACCATTTAAAAAGTGTGACACAACTGTAGTTCTAGTGTTCAAACTTCCT